TACTATCGCCTCGCCCCAGCATTTAAGGAGTTTCAATCAAACCGACAACATATTTGAGAAACGGACTTAACATCCAAAGTAAGCCATCTTAAAAGTGTCTTGAGTTGGTTAACACATTACCGACTTTAAAAGCAACCAATCATTTCCAGTACCTTTTCTTCGTTGTTCACTTCAAACCTTCCACTGGCTCCGTTTGAGATTATGAACGTTTCAGTTTTAATAAACACAACTTTGTCCGTCAAAGAACGTTCCACCGCGCGTGTTTCTGGGAAATGTAGTTTTGTGGGTAACGAATTCGAATATACTCGACTTGTCAGTAGGCCACAAAAACTACAACATCCAAGAGAACCCGGGGCAGAATTACATGACAAGCGGGTTTTGCTGTTATGGTCCAATCAGAGGATGTAAATATTATTGAGCTTAGTGATTTATAAGCGTGAAATAATATTTTAATCCTCAGTTTTAATATGAATTAAATATCACCTCTCTGATTACATTATGCGCACATTTACACGTTTTTACTTGATATGCTAATGTACTTAAAAACGTTAGCTCATGCCAACATGGAAATGATACAAGCAATACTAACCCTCTTTTTTCAAAAAATAAATACATCTAGGGAGTGTCTCCTAGGTTTTCCATAATGAGTCACACTGGTATGGCAGCCTTCACTTTTAGTGTAGCCAGGACCAAGAACCACCCATGAACACATCTCATTTACTACATTACACAACAGCCTCTGGTGTGTGCAGAGCTTAAGCTAAACGTGTTTGTTATAGCACATGCTCAAAATGAAAAATTTCTACAGGGACATTTCTGTTTGATCAGCTGATTCTACATCCTAAAGCTATAAGAAAAATATTTATCCTTTAATAATTATTTGCTTCCTTTTATGTGTACGGTTTTGGCAGTAAATTGTCAAATTAATACGAATGATCCATTAGGTAAGGGTGAGTGCAATACTAATACATTTAAAAAGATCACATACATAGAAGGTGTACTGAAAATCTGACCTGCCTCTCAGGTTGACCCACCCACACTACATCCTTTTAATGATACGGTTCAGGTTGGGTGGGGTTGTGGGTAGTCTACCTATGGTGACAGCATATCCTGATAGGCTGAAAAGGTGTTATTCACTTTTACGGCACATCTATTACATTAGTAGTGCATCTAGACAGTTTTTATGCCTTATGTTGTAGCTTTGCTTATGACAGGTTAAACTACTGGTAGGTCATTTTGAGTAGGTAGGTCAGATATTCAGAACACTGGCCTTTTTCTCTCAATTACCCACATTAATGGAGGAGGCCACTCTAGAGCAACCATTACCTAAAGGTTAAGATGTGTCATTATCATAAATGAAGCCATAAGACATTAATAACTTCACAGATTCATTCCCCAATGTCTTCTAGTTGCAATCTGCGATCTACTAAATGCTCGCTAATTATTACTAAGTGCTCACACGTTAAATCAGCAATGATTTCATCATAACATTTTAGTACTTTATTACTACATGAGTTACACATGAAGAGGATGGGGTCAGAGTGTTATTTAGCGTCAACCTGTTAAACATAACTAAACAAAAAAATAATAAAAATAAACACGTCAATAAAGCAAAATATGACATGCATCTTATTACACAGAAAACTATTAGCTACAGAATGCTGTAGCATGACAATAATCAACAAGAAATAAGGGTTAGATATTAATCTTTCCATCTACCCAATCTAACAGCTGGCAGTTTATATCAATAATACTTGAACATGTTCATAATTTTGAACAATTTCATACTGTAAAAAAACAAAACGTATTTTCTTAAAAAAATCAGAACTTTATCCCTCTAATTAATAATAAAGTCGAACACAACAGATCTTTAGAATAATCTTAATGGAAGGGACTTAAAAAGGCATGGAAGTCAGTGCATTCAATATTACCTTTCAACCATGACAATAAACAATAAATTGCTTTATTACCGATTATACACTAATACCAAGGATACCCTCACAGTGCTGTTGTCAGTCCCTACAAATGTCTTTTCAAATCACTAGATTATTTGGAATTGCTTATGTTGCACCTTTTATGACAGTAAGTAAAGTTCAGGCAGTTATAAAGTGCCAATAGTACATCAAGCCTAGAGTTCTCACAGTGGCCCCATCTCCCCATTAACCCTCCTTGCTTGTACACAGCACACAGGTAAGCTCTCAGTGGTTGTTTCCCGCGAGGTCAAGCAGTGACCCTGCAGCCTCCTGAGCCTCTGCATCAAGCTGCAGTATCTCAACCGTCTCCAGGTCCAACTCAGTGTCTTCTGGAAGAACCAGGTACTGATACTGCTGATACTGATAATAGTGTAACTCAATGTAACCACTGTCTGCCAATGGATCTTTATCTGAATCCTCGCCGGCAACCTCTGTCAGTTCCACAGACTCCATGGGGACCAGCTCCTCGTGATCTGGTGTCAAAGAGCACGGCGGGTTTGAAGACAGAAAATCTAGATCTGAGGAACAGTGAAAAGGAACAGTTAATGTGATGGAATGTACCATACATAACTGTGTACTCGCATAAAAGTGTAAGAACAGGTCTGAATTTTGTCAGTCACTCTCTGTGACACTCGTCTGTATAAAACACAAAAAACACTAACAATTCCCAGTCACTGTGATATTACTAATTAATTAGTACTGTACGGTGAAAGATCTTTGCAAATCAAGAGAGAAAACCATCTGTTATGTGAGACTTCTTTACTTAAGTGACCCTGTAGTAAAACAGCCTGACATAGAGAGGAAGGCCATTATTGTCAACGTGGCTATAGGTTGCTAGGGTAATGTCCGGTCGTTACCAAGACAATAGCTCCCAAACATACCGTGTCTGGAAAAAGTAGATAAATGCTAGCAAACAAAAAAGTGCATGCAAGAATGCACCATATCACACACTATCATTTAAAAGTTTGGGGTCTTTAAGAATTAATACTGTCATTCAGCAAGGACACAAATTGATTAAAGGTGATGTTAAAGACATTTATAATGATATGATTTGATATGAAACTTTCTCCTCATCAAAGAATCCTAAAAAAATGTATCATGGCAGAACAATTATTTTCAACATTGATAATGTTTCTTGAGCAGCAAATCAGCATATTAGAATGATTTCTGAAGGATCATGTGACACTGAAGACTGGAGTTATGATGCTGAAAATTCAGCTTTGCATCACAGGAATAAATTACATTAAAAAAAATATTAAAATAGAAAATGGTTCTTTTAAGTTGTAATAATATTTCACAACATTACTGTTTTTTCTGTACATTTAATCAAATAAACGCAGCTTAGTTGAGCATAAAATACTTTTGAATAGTAGTGTATATACTTCTACACTGTCTTTTAAAAACTGTTTAACATGTCTGTTTCATGCTGCTTGATTTAGTATTTATTTATAACTGTGCTGTTTTTATGGTATTCTAGGTGTTTTGGTCTGTGTTGTATGTGTAATTGATTGTTTGTTGGTATGACGAGATGAGACCAAAGATACATTTTTAATCAAGGCTGAACTCTAAATTAAATGTTACTTTTTGTTAAAGCATTCTCGTTCCAGTATGTTAAATTTAACTAGAGTTTCATTTAAAAGTTGCATTCAGTTGTGGCTTACCTGAAATTTCCATGGTATCACCCAAGGTGTTCAGCCCATTATCAGCCAACCTGTTCAGAAAGGAGGTCAGATATGCATGTATCAGTATCACAAAGAAAGAGTCATTTTTTCCTCTGACGTTGTGCATGATACATCAGATAATTCAATATTAAGCCTTATGGAGGTGGGTGGTGTGTCATAAGAAAGCAAATCAAACTCACAAAACACGCTTGTTCAGCAAGCTGCTGTTGGTACGATGACAATAATGTGTTTTTCTAAGAACTTCCAGAAGAGCTGGCCGATATTCTGGACAAACACGCCATAATGAGCCCTTTCCAACGGACTGCAAAACAAAGCAGGAATATTTCATTAAACAACTAATCAAAATAGACTAAGAGATCAGAAAGTTCTGACTGGAAGTCTGACGCACTTGACTCTTGTCTCGATGTATTCGTTGGAAGCTCTTGCTCAAGGACAAGTTGTGTCGGACCGAGTTCCTCCATCCACCGGGAGCCTCTCTATAATAGGGGAAGTTGTCGACAATCCACTGATAAATACCTTTCACAGGAAGCCTCTTCTCAGGCGAATCTTCTATTGCCATGAAGATGAGGCTGCTAAAAGAGTATGGGGGTTTGGCAGGGGAGGAAGGCAGCTGTTGGACAGGAATCGGGTCTAATGTCTGGGGCAGTGCTGTGATTTTAGGCAGTGGATGCAGGGGCAACAGGTTCCCTCTTTGATGCAGCCAGCTGAGGCAGGTCAGGTCATCCTGGTCAGATACTGTGGAGGGACTGAGGCAGTGTGACCCTTCAGATGCCCGAAGGGCTGAGTATAGATAGGAGGCTGGGGTGGTTAAGGAGGAAGGGAGGGACGCGAGCTGAACAGCGGCAGGCTGTGGAAGAGAGGGGGATCGAGACAGAGCTTCTGAATCACTTTGGGGGGAATGTAGAGGAGAATGGGGTGGCAGTGCTTGTGTGTGTTTCTCCATCTGTCTCCCAGCTGCAAGATACAGGTCCACACATTCACCTGTTGAACTGCATAAAAGAAAAGTTTGATGATGAAAACAAGAGTCAAGTGCAGACAATGCAACATCTCTATAAATTCACAGATACATGGTTTCTGATATTACTACATGGCAAACGCATTGCAAGCATGGTACTGTTGCTCATACTTAATGTGCATTCTTGCATTAAATCCTGGTACTCAAGGGAGCAATAGAGTTCCCTTCAAATGTCTGTACCATTAGGAGGAGTTATTTTTCAGATAGCTAGCTATAAACATGTTTATAAAATCTAACTTGCTCAACAAGATTCTCTTCAACAGAAGCTTTGTCATGAGCCGAAACGTGACCTGGCTAACCTGAAAGAGAAAACTGGCTGAGAAGACAGTTTTAGGTGATAAAAGCCATTGCTAGACGAAAACAAAAGAAAAGTTTGATGATGAAAACAAGAGTCAAGTGCAGACAATGCAACATCTCTATAAATTCACAGATACATGGTTTCTGATATTACTACATGGCAAACGCATTGCAAGCATGGTACTGTTGCTCATACTTAATGTGCATTCTTGCATTAAATCCTGGTACTCAAGGGAGCAATAGAGTTCCTCTATTGAGTTATTTTTCAGATAGCTAGCTATAAACATGTTTATAAAATCTAACTTGCTCAACAAGATTCTCTTCAACAGAAGCTTTGTCATGAGCCGAAACGTGACCTGGCTAACCTGAAAGAGAAAACTGGCTGAGAAGACAGTTTATGGAAAAGTCCACTACGGTGGCACTTGCAACAACAAAATGGCACAAAAATGCACTTGAGTTTGCATTCACATATTGCTTGCTTAATGTTTGTTTTGGGGCATAATGAAGCTCTCTAAAATTATTTGCAAGATTTTTAATAATTAATGTTATAAGTACAGATCAACGATTTGTCAGATTGCTCAGAATAAATAATAAAAAAAGAATTACTGGGTATGTAGAGATCTGGAGCATTGACATCATGGCGTGGTATGAGAGGAGTGTCTCTGTGGTAACGTACTTCCCAGTCCTGATGATATCATAGTATACATAAAGAAGAAAAAAAAGGTTTATATTGAACCTGTTCAAAGAAGTGCAAGATAAACCTTTTAAATTTGGCTATAAATTAGGCTTTCTGAATGCATCTGGGTGATGCAAAACAAGTTTGACAATTTAATCTATAATAAAGCGACAAGATATTAAAACTGTTTAAATGAACTTTTTACGCTATATTTAATGAACTTTATATCAAAGAATATTTAGAGTTAAAAATGTCCAGTAAAAAAGCAATTCTAATTAAAATGAGAAAATAATGTTAATAAACATTAATTACCTATTTGATTCAGGAATTAATATTTTACCTGATGCGTGTATGGGAACATGAGAAGCAACAGTTTCTTCAATACATATTTGGTATCAACTGCAAAGAAATATTTCAGCTTGTTCACCGACATGAATCGGTTGATCTGCCAAAGAGATTACAAGGTGAGAGAAAAATAAAACCAATGACAATATATACTCGGGGCTCGCAAAATTTCAAAATTCCTGGTAGCGCTTTGGGCAGGCACTCTTCAGATTTTGGTAGCCCGCAATGAATTTAACTAGCCCAAATATAAAAAAACATTAAATATATATATAAAATTGGATAGACATTAAAATGTCAAAACATTTTCAAAACACAAAGGAAAGAATTTTATTTCACTATTTACAGGGTGTCTCCAGAATTGTAAAAAATCAATTTAACCCTTTTTAAGACCTGCACAAATAAAATTAACACCGTATGAGTGGAGTTGGGCAGTGTCTATGGTAACATAATAAACCGTAAAATGACATGATTTACAGTTCAGATACAGGTTTTCACAAAAACAATCTTATAAAATGATAAACATCACATCTCAGCCTTTAAAACATTTGTAAGAAAAGGGGTGAGTCAAATGTATAAATTATTATATTAATTTAAAACATATACAAATATGTTTTACTGTTTTAATTATTTAGATTTTTAGAAGGCACATTAGCTTCTTTCACATTTGCAACTCTGCGTGTTTGCTGCATAATAACATGGGTCGATTTTTGCATTGGTCTGACAAAACCCGTCTGGATGGGTAAAAATGCTAATTAATTAATTTGGAAGGGCAGAAAAATAGCGGTTTACCCGGTAACGGCTGTACACAAAGCAGCACTGCACTTCATCATTAAAATAACATACCACTGTCATACCTTAAGTTAAACATGGCATCTCACCTCTTTGTTCACAATATCCTTGCCTTGATTGGCAAGTAACATTTTCAAAACACATATCAAGGAAATAATTTTATTTCACTATTTACAGGGTGTCTCCAGAATTGTAAAAAATCAATTTAACCCTTTTTAAGACCTGCACAAATAAAATTAACACCGTATGAGTGGAGTTGGGCAGTGTCTATGGTAACATAATAAACCGTAAAATGACATGATTTACAGTTCAGATACAGGTTTTCACAAAAACAATCTTATAAAATGATAAACATCACATCTCAGCCTTTAAAACATTTGTAAGAAAAGGGGTGAGTCAAATGTATAAATTATTATATTAATTTAAAACATATACAAATATGTTTTACTGTTTTAATTATTTAGATTTTTAGAAGGCACATTAGCTTCTTTCACATTTGCAACTCTGCGTGTTTGCTGCATAATAACATGGGTCGATTTTTGCATTGGTCTGACAAAACCCGTCTGGATGGGTAAAAATGCTAATTAATTAATTTGGAAGGGCAGAAAAATAGCGGTTTACCCGGTAACGGCTGTACACAAAGCAGCACTGCACTTCATCATTAAAATAACATACCACTGTCATACCTTAAGTTAAACATGGCATCTCACCTCTTTGTTCACAATATCCTTGCCTTGATTGGCAAGTGATGAGCCATACATCATGGCAGCACTGGCCACTGGATCAGCAAAGAGGCTGCCCGCTCCAGGATCTTGACCTCCTGCCGATGCATCAGCCATATTATATCCTGAACTATAGTAGTTCTGGTTGTTCATGGGTGGGGGCCCAGAACTGGTGTCATCAAAAAGAAGCGGACCCCCAATGGGCGGAGATGCTCTGGCTCTGGGCTTTGCTGAATTGAGAGAGAGAGAGCGAGAGAGAAAGAAAGATATTACTGATAAAGCAACATCACATTTAGAGAATTCTCACATAAAATATATGGCTGTTTATGCATCAACAAAACTAGGATCGTAACTAATTACATGTGATTTGGCAAAGAATTAAAGAGTTCACAAAGCATGTCATCAAGCTAAGATATCTAATTAGGTCTAATCAGTTACTTTACAATCTGCAATGTGCTTTAGTGCCAAACTGCTCGTGATGTGATCAATTTAGGCTTTGCTGATTTTAAGGTAACAGTATGTTGCGGTCCACGTATCTCAAAGAACAACAATCTTTTGCTAAGTTCTTTCATACGTACTTGCCCGGTATCCATGCTGTTGGAAATCCATCTTCTCTGCTGTTTTGAATTCCAAAAACAATTTGATTAGCTTCACCACCAGAGAAATCTGCAATCCAACCGATTAAAGTCTGCCACTACTAATAATACACTAGCGTGCTATGTAGCTAATCTGAAAGATGTCTATCAAAACATGTCAGATTAATCTTGAATGCAGTACCAGAATTATTACAAAAACACTTATTTTGATGCGGATATAAACGATCGGTGGTCACTTATAATTTAAATGTGAAATATTGTTTTCTAAATAAGTGCTCTTGTTAGCTTATACTCACAGATACGCCTTCACTCTTACACCCGCCTCGCCTGGCTTCTCATTGGCTGATGAGAAATGTGCCTGCGTGGCAGAGATGAAAAACCTCACAATTTCATTGGTTAAAATGACGGTTGCGTAGACTGAAGTTCTTTCATGTTGATTGGCTGTAAGCAAGGCAATCAAAAGAAAGTGGCGTTGCGTAGTACTAGGCAACCGAAAGGAAAATACATAAAACAGTGGCGTATATTAAGTTTCACTGGTAATTAAGCTTCACATTTATTAAGCTTCACACACACACACACACACACATATATACTTTATTCATATATATAGCCTACTTTATTAATTAAATGTGTAAAATAGTGCCACATAAAATAAAATAATAAAATAAATGAGCCACTGTTTTTGTGCAGTTATTAAGTTGAGACACCCCAGCGTATTCATTGTAATTGGCAAAACAATTCACTAGATAAATTAATGATCATTTATGGCATTCCTTTGTTGAGTTGATGCAGAATTATTCAATTATTTATTTCATGTCACAGCTGAAGTCCATTACACTGAGAATAATGATTTAAATAAAGCAAACATAATATGTATTAATTACACCTAAGTGTGTCAGAAATAATACGCTTATTATTTGGTATGCTGAAAATGATCTGCTATAGTGCTGGAGTTCTAACATTTTTGTGATAAATGACAGAATAGCAACATTTGGTTGAATACGTGAAATAACTGGCAGTGGGGAGTGCCATTCATTTCTTAGTGTCCAGAATGTCCTCATAGCCTACGTAAATTGTTTGCATCAGTACCAAGCCTTGGGTAACAGCACATCCTATCTGGGTAAGATGCACCTTGCCTGCATGTTGAGGCATGTTGCAGAGAGTTGCAAAAGGGGAGTGTCATCACAGCATTCCATTCTGCTTGGGTCATAATTCACCTAATGAAGCACTAACACTCTGGTTACAACCAGATCTTGCCAGAAGAAATCTGAAATATAATACCACAATATAATTATATAAAAAAAGATAGCACCACAATATAATATTTAGGGGGGGGGGGGGGGGGGGGAGGGGAAAGACACAACCGACGACCATCTAACGAGAACATACTTAAAATGATCAAATAAACGGGACACCAAAGGGGGGGGAACAGTGACATCATACCAAAGCAAGTCAATTATTCCTCAAACATGAAATGGGCAAGATATCATTTAGATAAGATATCCACTTCAGCCTTGTGGTTTCATTTTTACAAACATTGTTTCCTTTAGCACAAACAGATCATTGTACTGAACATACTGAACAGTTAAAAAAATGAGTCATAATGATGCTGAAAAGGAGCAGATCTTGAATAGCGGTGACAAAGAACAGTGACTGGGTTTGAACAGTAATAAAAATATTACAAAAAATAAACTTCATAAAATAAAAAAATAATCATAGTAAATGTATGTTTTTGTGTTTTCATGTTATTAATTTTGTTTGACCGACCCACAAAATAAACATATTTTATACAAAATTTGCTCTGTAATTCAGCAATTAAGTATGAAGTCAGAGTGACCAGGGTAAGAGGTTGACTAGGTCAAAAATTCCATTGAATGTAATCAAAAATAACCATGGATGACATTAAAAAGTTTTGGAATTATCTGTAAAGTATAACCTCCAGAGTTTTCCTCTTTAATGAGTCACTGTTTTGGTGCAGTTATGAAGTCGAGACACGCCAGTGTATTGTTGTAATATAGACCAAACAATTCACTACTTAAATTTATGATCATTTATGACCTTCTTTTGTTAAAAAATAATTTGTCATGATGCTGAAAAGGAGCAGATCTTGAATAGTGGTGACAAACAAGAGTGACTGTAGTTGAACAGTAATAAACATATTACAAAAAAGAAAAATAACAAAATAAAAAATAACAAATAACAAAAAAAAAGTATGTTGCTGGGTTTTCATGTTAGTCATTTTATTTGATCGACCCACAAAAGATACATTTTATAAAAATTTGCTCTGTAATTCAGCAATTAAGTATGATGTCAGAGGGACCAGGGTAAGAGCTTGACTAGGTCAAAAATCCCAGTAAATGTAATAAAAAATGACATTCAAATGCTCCATTGTAATAATTGTTGGTGTAGTTGGTGATGTTGTTTTATAGGTAACAGTCATAATAGTTCAGATTTAAAATTCTTCTCATAATTTCAGATATATTAACTATATGTGTGAGATATATTGGTTTATGTGTGTTTCTGTATGATTAAAAGTACTCTCATTAGATAAAACATGTCCCTCAAATCATTTCCAGAGGGCCAATACTGCCCCTTACTACTACTACTACTTCTAATAATAATAATACAATATTTTTCAGACACTGGTATGAACACTGTAAAGGGAAACTGGGCTGAGAGCATTTTACCTAAAAAGCACAAGCTTGCTTCAAGTATCTGCTCTGTGATTGTTAAATATTTGTGCCCAAAATACACCAGATTGCAGGTCTACAGTGAACTGCCCATCAGTTTGTGGTTTTCAAAAACGAGAAGGAAAGTCATGAATCAATATTTCACTGCCTGACACCATTTAGCTGAATCATTTCCCTATTTACTGCTGTAGGGATGATTCAGCGGAATGGTGAGAAGCGGTGAAATTGGTTTCATGACCCTTCATCCATTCATGGCGTTCATTCACTGCATGGTGCTTTAATGTGGTCCCTCCACTGAAACCGTGTACACACGACTTCACTTGTGGAAGACCAGCCACTCTTATTTACTCATGGGAAGAGTACTGAATTGGTTGGCGTGTCCACACACTGCTTACTAAGTGTTAACATAAACCCGCGTTTAAGTACAGAAAAACAATGTACACTTTTCCCGAAGAAATATCTACATAATAACGAAAGCTGCTGTAAAAAGCTCAAGTTTCGATTTAGAATGGTCTTTCTCGTGAGAGCGCCTATCACCGTCTCAAACGGAAGGAGTTCCCGGAAAAACCCATTTATGGTCATATACGTAATCTTCCATGTGACCAAACGTCATTCACAAGCCAGGCAGCACCATTTCCCGTAAGATAGGAGGGGCGAAAACTGTACAGTTATTGCGCACTTATTTATATTCTGGTGAACACTCGGAACCACCAGTCTGGCAGAAAAACAGAATTGTATTATACAAATCATAAAACGTTATTTTTTACATTTATTCTACCTCTGTCAGCAATATGAACATTTTAAACGTTGACAGACATTTCTAGACTCCCCCAGGCGTATCGTGGTGGATTCTACCGCTTTCCCGCAATAAGGTGGATATTTAACTTGCTTTTGAATTTCGCCTGAACTGTCAGTGATATAAGTAGGAGGAACCTTTTTGGGAAAGCAGACCCAAAAACGTAGGCAGCGACACAGAGTTCACAGAGTCAGTCAACAGTTTCCTCTGGATTACTGAAGAGTCACCGGCATACATGTACAACTACGGAAGCCTGGGCAGTGGAATCGATCGGACCTTCCCAGATAACAGCTCTGGATCAGGCTCGAGCTCTGCGACTCCCGCTACAACCACTGTCACCACTCAACAACAACAACAACAACAACAACAACAACAACAACAACAACAACAACAACAACAACAACAACAACAACAACAACAACAGGTAAGTTAAGCGTCTTTCTCTCATATCTAATAAGGTCATATGTTATACTCTTCATAGAATTTAAGATTTCAATACAGTTTTAATTCACATTTCACCAACTATGAATACTAAATGACAAAAAAGTAGCATTTTATAACTCTAAATATGAACCTTACCTAACATATCACTATGCTTAAAATGCTCACCATATCATTTATTTAGAAATGAGTTGTAATTCATATTCTGACATGTCTTAACATAGCATTATTTATTTAGAAACTTAATATAACATCTAAGTAACCTAAGAAAAAACCTGTGTGTTTTAAATGTCTTCTCTGTTGACCCACAGAGTACATTTAGGAACCCCTGTTTAGGATTAATGACCAAATAAATATAGCCAAAACAGAGCCCAGAGCAGACAGTAATAAAGTAATAATAATAAAATATTTAATGATTCAGGTTGGTGTTTATATCTGGGTGTTTCTGCAAACACAACAATGGGCTTTTGAGTCATAATGAGATATAATAAAGCCTCCTCCCTAAATATCTAATGCCACTGCCTTGGTAACTTATGATATATTGTCTGTGTCTCTTGTACTTTGAAGCAGAAATATTCTGTGGCAGGATCCAGTCAGTTTGTGCCCAGTCTCAATGCCATAACTTCAAACCAGGACCTTCAATGGATGCTTCAGCCCTCCGTTCTAGGCACCCCGGGACATTCCAGGGCACTTCGACCATCTTACTCACTGCCACCAAGAATCCCATATATGAATCCTCAACTTTCCCAATCACACATGCCCCGGCCAGGTGTTATTAGAGCAGCTACAGCCGTTGGCAGCTCAACAAGAAGTAGAAATGATGAACATGTGAGTCCAATTTAATAGCTGTCAGTCTGTTTATGTGATGAGGCGTTGATGAGTCATGACGGGAGACTGTGACAGCATGGTTTGTCACTATGTTCACCTGTCATCCTGTCCATTTTTGCCGGTGGTCTTGGCCAAAACCAAAAACAGCCATGCGTGTTATTCATGCATGACCCAAATCAAAGTGTGCTAGACCCAGAATGTGTAATATCCTGTTGTGAGTGACCTGGCTGTACGCGTGAACGTGATTGCTGATACATACAGGGTGTGAATCTCATTTGGGCTTATTTAAGAGTTTGAACTATATGTTCAGCTGTAAACATTAATTTTGTATGTAAGACTCTCATGTTATGATTTTATTGTATGCTATTTACAAGACAGCATCTACCCCAGAGGAAACCCAGAGATGCTCATTCAAAATTAACTCATGAAATCCTGCCTGACTCATGCATCCAAGTCTTGAGTAGAGCAGGGTGAGAGTGAAATAATGAGACAGGAAATGGGATATCATGTGATTCACTGGAGTAAAATATTATGACTCATACTTGAGTCACTAGGGTGTTTGCAGGTGATTCATCAATATAAGGTCAGGAAACTGCATATGATGCCCACAAAAGAAAGAGAGCGTGAAATTAATTAAAACAATATATTATCGGATTCATAATAGTGTAATTACAGAGATGAAAATTGCAACATTGCCTCAAAGTAGTCGGTGAATTTTAAATGAAATTAAAAATCTCATCCCCTAGATGGCAGTGTTTTCACATGTTTATAACTATAAAAATTGAGTTGACCAATTAGGTTCCGATTGTTCCAATTAGACATAAGGTTTTATAATTGTAATTATTTTGTAATTTATATTTTTCATTTTATTCATTACTATTATCTTTTAAAATATTTTATTACAGATGCATACAATGTCCAACTACTGCATGAATATTATTATATTAATTATATTTGCTTTACTTTCTCACTCCAGCTATCCCCTGAGGAACTTGAGCGGCGTAGAATTAGAAGAGAACGTAACAAAATGGCTGCGGCAAAGTGCAGGAATCGTCGACGTGAACTGACTGACACATTACAAAATGTAAGTTAATTTTGCTTAATTTTTCGTGTTTCCTTTCAGTCGAAGTGTCTTTGCATTACTTGGACCCGAATTGAATGTTTGAACTCTTTCTTTTCTCAGCAAACTGACCAGCTAGAGGATGAAAAATCACGTCTGCAGAAGGAGATCGCTGAGCTTCAGAAGCAAAAAGAGAAGTTTGAGTTGGTCTTTGAAGCCCATAGACCCATCTGCAAAGTCCAGGACTCGGACTCAGACTCTGACTCCAACAGTGACCTCCTGACACTGAGTGGAATCAAGATCGAGTCTGTGGACCCTGATCTTCCTGGACCCTCCAGAGAATCAAAGAGTCACGCCAAGCCTTATAAACCGAAGCCCAAAATTACCATACCACCTCCAGCTTCAGCCTCCACTGGTACCAGCGTACCTCTGGAATCAGAGTCTCTTCATACTCCTGTCCTCATCTCCACTCCATCTCTGACCCCTTTTACTGCCAGCCTGGTCTTTAGCTACCCCTCTTCTTCACAGGATACCAGCTCTGCGACTTCATCCCAAGCTCTCAATCTCACCAGCTCTCATAGTACCAGCCAGTCTTCTCATAACCCTCAGCCGTGTGGCGTCGCTCATCGCCGCAGCAGCAGCAGTGGAGATCAGTCGGATCACTCTCTCAATTCACCAACCATCCTCAGCCTTTAATTTCTCATCTGCTGAGGGAAAAAGTGTTTTCAAAAGTGTCCTTACTACTACTACTACATACAAGCATATATGCTCTTACCTGTGTATTCGGTTTACCTTTATTCATGGCAATTATCAAGTAACTTGAATGCACTATAAGAATACAGAAGCACAAGTTAATGGTGATGTGTGTAACCTCAGCATAGTAAGGAGACCCAACTATGCCATTCTTAGGCTGATTAGTAATACTGGATAAACCAAGAGCGTGCATTTGGAGGTACTATCTGTTTGTTCAACCAATAACATCTGGAGTAAGTGTTCAGGAAAAGGTATTTTTGCATTTCGTTTGGCGACGCTAGTGACATAGAAATTGCACACTTCACCTTTAAGGATGTGTAGTGCAAAATGAAAGATATGTTCATCCTACATACGAAGTAGACTGAATTTTTTTACAGCACATATGTATATAACACTGAAAAGAAAATTGACTGACTTTTAAGCCGTAACGTTTGACTGTAGTGGCATTAATAATAGTATTATTGATTTATAGTAATTTTACTTCAACTACATATTTAGTGTATTGGTGACGGTACTGTAGCAGTTAAAAACTGGCCTGCTAGCCAGTAAAGTTTAGAGGTTGCTTTGGGGGTTTGAGAGTTAAAGCACAGTGTAGATCTATCATCATTATGCCTTTCAGGAAGGAATGTCAGTTACTTCAGGAAAGCAATTTTTAAAGAGTGTCTATTACATTATTTATTATTACGTTACCAATTTTAGAAATGTTAAGGTCTCAATTGAAATGTGGATTTGGATTTTTATCGGTTATACTGTCTTGCTATGCACATGTTTGTGGATTTACACAATGTAATGTCTTGTTATTTTATGTGTTTAATCTTGGTTTTAAGAAATGCAGCATTATAATAACAGTGTATGCTGAATAAGCTAGTTTTATAGAAACTGAAGGGATGCAGCCTACCTGGTTCAATGTCTGCAACACCACTCAACTCAACACTGAGAATGTGCACTTCAATGACAGTTCACTGTTACACTGGTTACAAAAATTATATTTTAACTTCATGAAACACTTCAACTGTTACTATACAGGATGCTTTCTCGACAAGTGCAAAGGTGTGTGATCCACAGGCCAGTAGAAGTAAATTATATATAATTTATACTGTACTGAGTACACTATATGTTAGACTCTACTATTGCTTGACCACATATAGATTTGTATTTATTTTTGAAAACAAGATATTTTTTACTGATTTGATGTTGGTTCCTTTAATAAGGAGAAACATCCAATAAACAATTACTGACAATATGTGCTGCTATTGGGAATACAAAAACAATGTTATGACCTTGAGCTGTTTTGTAACATACTAGAGTGCCTTAAACTGAGGACTTCTATTGAATTCTATACTGTATGAAAAATGTAAGTTGAAGCTGATTTGTAGCCCCCTTAAGAGACTGTTTGTAGCTGTAATTTTATTGCAGGGGGCACATAGATAAATAATATGGCAATGATGTAAATGTTTAGCAAGATACATCATAGAAAGAGAGTCTCTCACAGCACACAGGGATACAAGGAGGGGTTGAGCACACAGTTTCCTCCTAGGATGTCCTGATGACAAAAATGTTCAATGAGTTACAAACACATTTGCCGCTGAACTGAAACCAGTTGTTAAACACCTTCCTCTAACAGTGTTGATCTTTAATTGTTGTATGACAAAATTAAAACAAATAAAGTTCTGCTCAGGATAAACATGTTTTTGGTCATCTGTCTGTGTTCATGGGAAAAATTTACATGGTGAGATCCTTATCACTTCATAGCCTGTGGTTACAATTAACAATGAACAGCCTTGAGGAACAAAAGTGATAAAGTGAAAGAGCACGTAAGTTAAAAGAGGCCAAGACATCTTGAATACACAGAGAGCAAATTAAATAAACATGGTGACCCTATTTCCTCCACACTGTGCCCTCTGTTATCGATCTGATTTGATCCAGTTGTTAAACACCTTCCTCTAACAGTGTTGATCTTTAATTGTTGTATGACAAAATTAAAACAAATAAAGTTCTGCTCAGGATAAACATGTTTTTGGTCATCTGTCTGTGTTCATGGGAAAAATTAACATGGTGAGATCCTTATCACTTCATAGCCTGTGGTTACAATTAACAATGAACAGCCTTGAGGAACAAAAGTGATAAAGTGAAAGAGCACGTAAGTTAAAAGAGGCCAAGACATCTTGAATACACAGAGAGCAAATTAAATAAACATGGTGACCCTATTTCCTCCACACTGTGCCCTCTGTTATCGATCTGATTTGAAGTGAGTCACTTAGAGAGGACATGAGAACATATGATGGAGATAATGAAGAGGGTGTTTGTGCTGAATGAACCGGCAAGCACATGTTTTGCTGAAAGGACCTCTGTATGCCAGTCAAATTGAAAGTTTTAATGTTCTGGCTGTGTAAACAGCATGCCAAAAATAAACCAGTGAAGCATCAAGAAATTAGGGCCTGAGCTACAGCATGACTAAGACCTCATCAAGACTGGGAAATTTTTATCCATGTTATCCAGTCCTTTGCGAGCTATAACACTTTAACCCTGCAAAGCCTGACATATGAAATGATTGTCAGAATTATTATTTTTTTTTTTAATGATATGTTCTAAGAACTTTTTGCTGTTTCCCAGTAAGTAATGATAAAAATTTTTTTTTGAAACATAAAATGTTCATGGTTATACAAATGTTTAGGGTACAAATGCCAAAAATAAACCAGTGAAGCATCAAGAAATTAGGGCCTGAGCTACAGCATGACTAAGACCTCATCAAGACTGGGAAATTTTTATCCATGTTATCCAGTCCTTTGCGAGCTATAACACTTTAACCCTGCAAAGCCTGACATATGAAATGATTGTCAGAATTATTATTACTTTTTTTAATGATATGTTCTAAGAACTTTTTGCTGTTTCCCAGTAAGTAATGATAAAAAAATTTTTTTGAAACATAAAATGTTCATGGTTATACAAATGTTTAGGGTACATTTCATTTTATTATTTTGCAAACATTACTTTTGAATGTTCTCTGAACATGTGACAACAGTTTTAGTTGTTTAGTTAACAGGGACAATGCAGAATAACATTGCAGATGCTCTACATACAGGCTACTAGCCAATGGCTAATTAGCAGCCCCAGTCCAGATAACTTTGAATAAACATTCTATTAACATTATTTAAAGAAAGTTGCAGTTTTGCCTTATACAACACTAGGAAGATCAGACCCTTCCTATCAGTCTCTCCAGACTGGACGATTGTAATGCTCTCTTGGCGGGCCTTCTGACATGTATTATCAAGCCTCTGTAACTGATCCAGAATTCAGAAGCGAGAGTGGTCTTCAACGAGCCAAAGAAAGCCCACGTCACACCTCTCTTCATCAGTTTGCACTGGCTGCCAATAGCCGCTCGCATCAAATTCAAGGTACTGATGTTTGCCTGCAAGACAACCACATGGCTCTGCACCAATATACCTAAACGTGCTAGTCCAGAAGCTTGCGTTCTGCAAGTGAACGACGCCCAAAGAGGCACAATATCACTCTCACAGACCTTTTCCTGGACTGTTCCCAGCTGATGGAACAACCTGCCTATCTCAATTCAAGCAGCTGAATCTTTAGCCATTTTCAAAAAATGTCTAAAGACACATCTTTTTCGTCAAAACCTTACCAATTAATACTAGCACTAACCTATTCTATTTTATACATTTTTTATTCTATTCTTTTTACAGCACTTGTATACTGTTGCCCTCTTGTTGGTCTGATTGCTTCTATTGTTCTCCTCATTTATAAGTCGCTTTGGATAAAAGCGTCTGCTAAACGATTACATGTAAATATAAACGTAAGCGAAAGTTTGAGCAGAACTTTGGTAGAATCTTGCAAGAAAGTTAACCAAAGTTCTGAGAACATTCCCTGTTAGCTGGGATATTGAGCATCATATGTTGTACATCAGGGTTTTATACATATAGAATGACATAAGAGAATATGAGGCTCATACTCGAGGACTTTTATTCAGAGGCCCAAACAGAGCAAAAGTATGCAATTTAGTGCAGTTGTTTATATTTTTATGGCCAAAACGTATGACGAAATTCTGATAGCTTGTAATGCAAATCAATGAGATCATATAGATATAAATATCAGTTGTCACTCTATATCTCCCAATAATGTCTCTAAAATTAAAATAGTTGTATGATCAAAGCTCTGTAGTTTTCATTGCGCAACACAATACAATGATGATGTACAAATGTTCCTCAAAAACCATTAAACATTTCATAGAAAAAAGACACATGTACCCCGACCTGAAGGGGGATGCTTTTAGAATAAGCCTTTTGCTTGCTAGAAAGAATTAACTTTCAAGATCATATATCTGGATTAAAAACATGTACAACAGAACAATCCCATGTAGGAGGCTCTTGTAGTATGCAAAAAGACACATGTACCCCGACCTGAAGGGGGATGCTTTTAGAATAAGCCTTTTGCTTGCTAGAAAGAATTAACTTTCAATTAACTTTCAAGATCATATATCTGGATTAAAAACATGTACAACAGAACAATCCCATGTAGGAGGCTCTTGTAGTATGTAGCAAATACAACAAAATAATAACAATATCTAGCACAATAATTTTAAAACTACATGTCAATGTTTTCTCCTCCAAACAGTTTCAATTCAGTGTGTATTAATTAAATCTTGTCAAAGCAACAACTGAACACAAAAAGCTTTGTACAGTACAGCTGTGTAGTTAAAGTGGGGTTAATGCAAACGAAAGTTCATTCTGGATTCAGTGCAGAGCACAGCAACATTGTTTAGTGGAGCACACGTCACTACATCTAGTGAATTATACTGTCCAGTTCAAAATAAACTGGAAAAAACTATCTCATACTATAGAAAAGTGGTCTAGTAACATGTGCATTTCCAGTGAATCATTCTTGGGCCTCCGTGATATAGTCATATTACGTCACAAAAAATCTGATCTGCTTACAATGGAGGCTTCCCTTTGCACAATCCTTTGATACTTCCATTTCCTCTCCATTGCTGAAATAGATTCAGTGCTTTTTGTAAATGATCTTAAACAGATCACTACATAGTATATGGCTGTAATCAGTAAAAATGTGAATCTCTAAAGATTCAAGATTCATTGCAGCCCTGTCAGAGTGCATTGTAGGAGAAACACCAGCCCGTGAACATCAGTGCACAGTAAAACCTGGTACAAGTTAGCAGTATGGTTAGTTTCTCTCTATGTTGTTGAAAATGTCAACCCCAAAACTACATTTTTGCCCCTATCTACAACCCCTATAAGAGATGACAGGAAACATTCCTGCAACAATTGGAAAATCATACATTCAAATAATGCTACTAATACAATAAATAGGTCTGCTGGAAAATCTGAAGCTTTTGGAACATGGTGGATGGTTTCTAGAAAGTTCAAGCTGGAAGGCCATCTTAGTCATATCATTTTCTACTAGCATGCACCAGGTAGAAACCAGCCACCATGTTCCAAAAACAAAGCTACCAGCTTAAAAAGAAAGTAAATCAAAATGATTCATTCACATTTGTTGCACACCTGTGTGACTTTCTTCTGGAGAACACAAAAGAAGATATTCTGAAAAATGTCTCACCTGGGATCCCCCCTCCCCCCAATTTTTTTTTTTGTTAGCTGAACAACTTTAACCTAAAATATTTACTTGAAATACCCCCTTAGTTAATATTTTAATAATTTAACAGTTAATTCTCATGATGTTCAAGGTTCTCTGATACCAGTTAATTGTCAGCATGACATGCAGGTAAGCAAATAATATATTTTATCTTTGTCGGTAGGTGTTATTTCGTTTTTTTTATTTTAAATTTTATTTTAATGTTGCAATTTTATTATTTAATTAATTATTAGCTTTTCATCCACTAACAAACTCCTTGCAGTCCTTACAGGTTTGGAAAGACATCAAGGGGAGTAAACGATGACAAACCTTTCATTTCTGTGTGAACTATCCCCTTTAAACTGGATTTGCCAGCAGGAGGACTGATTTTGAAAGGAAAGGCTGTCACTTTAAAAGTTTAAAAATAATTCTGTTTTGCCTGACACCCAATAATTTCACTCAAGTGTTAAAGGTCTGCCAACTATAAAATGTTAATCAATGAAATATAGAGAAACTGTATTTATGGCATCAAAAGGCCATGAGTAAACTAGCCTACTTTAGAGTCTATTTCCACCGAAATAGCTGAGATGTCATTGTCAGAAAATGTAAACTACTTTAGTAGACATAAAAAGTCTGTCTCAGCATCAAGAGAGAAGGGTAAAGTAATATGGCTCAGCTCCTCTCCTTCAGTCATCTGGTGAACACACTAAGTGCAGCTGGTCTGGACTGCCAACACTCCCGGTGCTGGAGCTCCCGTCACCCACGTCCCGGGCCACCATACACGGTATGTTGAGATCCGTGGAGCCACCCGGGCTGGAATCACTTCTGCTCACGCACTCTTCCTCGAGCACCAAACAAAGCTCCTTCAGATCCAGATTCTCCTTCACCAGACCGTCCTGCATCCGCTCCAGGTCGGCGAGCTTCTTGAGGTATCCGCCGAGGTCCTCGCGCATCACTTTAGCAGCGTGATGGCCGAATAGTTGCCACTCACGAGCCAGCTTCTTCACTTTCAGACGGTCGTCGTCCAGAAAGCAGCACAAATCCTGAAGTTCCTGGTTCTCCTCTTGCAGCCTCTGGTTGATGACTTTGAGTTCCCTGATTTCAAGCAGATGCCCCTGCAGTTGTTTATTGACCTCCTTGATTAATCGACCGCGCTGTATGAGAGCGGACATCTTTTCCGATTCTTCTTTGCGGAGTCGACTCACCAGCTCTTCCTTAGAACAAGCCAGCAAGTCTTCTTCGGACATCTTTGACAGCTCCCGGTGCAGTATTTCACTGTCGCTCCCCATATTGTACAACAAATCACCATCAATTGTTACTACAGCGGTTAAACCATAAAATAACTCTTACGAGGCACATGAGATGTCTGTCACTGTAAATGGATCGCAACATTCCTCATCCATGCACGAAGAAAAAGCTCCATTTCCTCTTCGCTCCGCTATTTATAACCTATAATAAGGGAGAAAAAAAAACACAATTCTTATATGCAAACTGGCTTTTTTGTTATGTTTAACGATTATAATATTAAACACATCCCGATTGTAACACACTTAACAGGCCTACCTCTCTCCTCAGTGCTTTAAATCGTAATTGGCCGCATTCATTTCTCAGTTTTTGGCTTCTGGGAATCACTGAAGCGCAATCGTGTTTGCTTCTGCTCCTCGGACTGGGATGAGAGGTCAACACGGAGGTTTACAGTAATCCCCGTGGAGCATCTCTTCTGTATTATCAGGGCTCACAATGTCCGTCTCTCTCCGCCCTAAAGCTTTTACCCATTCCAGTGCAGTCCAGTAAATAACCACGGTGCGATTTAATGTCTAAATAGGCAAAACATCCAATCGCAAGCGTTCCCCATAAAACGCGTTGTAAATATCATAAATAAATAAATAAGAGTCGAAATGTAGGACAGGCTGGTTATACTAGTGCTGCATGCGATTGGTCGGTTTTGCAAAGGGACAGTGTGGGATAATCCGAATCAACGACGCTGAAATGTATGGTGGCAGCCTGCGAGTTTACTTCGTGGTGGTTCCTGAGGAATTCGTTGAGATGTTCCTTGAGATTACAGTGTTTCCTTTGGCGATTGAGGTGGTTGGGGAGGCAGTGATGTCTTCCCCCATCTCCTGCTCTCCTCCGCTCCCTTCTTCACCCCCTCCCCTCTTCCCTTACCGTAAAAATCTGTACTGTATCCTGGTGAGTGAGTTCCCCTCTCACAGCTGTTTCTAATGTCTAAAGCTGCACCACACTCATAACACACTGAAGATACAAAGCAAGGGATATTAATACAGGTTTATGTTGAAATGCAACTCTAGACGAGGTCTTCCCACTGCTGAGATGAGACTGCAGGGGACACACACAAAACTAACGGAAAGGGTGACAAAAGCTTTTTCTCTACTTTAAGCCACGGTATTTAGCCACATCCTTCCGCCCTGCTCTCCAGCACAATTGCTAGCACGAGGACATAACAATGTGGGGTGTTAACCAGGGCCAGGGGTGAGAGGGGGGTTGCTGGAGTAAGAATGGAAACAGGCCACAGTTTCGGATAAACGAGAGGGAGGTGTGAACAACCGCATGCAAGACAATAGGTGAGAGGTGCAGAATAATAAGGCAGTGTTGAAAATATACTTGTGCCCTTTGGTGGATTCAATGAGAGTTAATTGCAATTTGAATTTTAAAGAGTTATGTTGGTTAAGCTGCTGCAGGGGTTTAAATATTTAACATTATTATAATATTCTAATAATCTGGCAATGATGGTCATGTACTTAAATATGAATTAAACAAATGGTAAATTCAGAGTATGTCTGTCAGACTTTAAGACATTTTTTGAAAATAGTAACACACTTGTAAACACACCTGATAGAGTCATGATTGAGTCTTTAACAAATCTTCTACTATTTCTTAATCTCTCTGTTCTGTAGCTTAATAGATGATGTTTGAAACGTTGTATTTAACACTTCTCATGTTATTGCCTCCTTGTGAATCGCTTGCTGTATTCCTCATTTGTAAGTCACCTGGATAAAAGTGTCTGTTAAATGAATAAACGTAAAAAAGTGATATTTTTCAAGCTTTGGAACCAGCAGAGGACCTCTCGAAGAAACAAATCATCAAAAGCATAATACCTAAAAATAAAATATGCTTGTTTCAGGTAAATCAGGATTTTTTTTGTAAAAACATAGTAAGCATGTCAGGTTATAATTGTTTAAAACTGTAATGCAATTATGTTAAAACAACTATATAGCCTAGTTGTAAAATGTAATATCTTAGAAATGACACATTCTATCATCTTTTAAAATCATCTTATGTTATTTTCCTTAACATTATAAAAGTACAGTTCTAAATACATACATGCATAAAGTGATTTAGTGAACTTGGTAATGCGAAAGTTGAGTTAATTTGACATTTCCTACCCAGATGCTTTTGTTTCATGACTTACGGTATGCTATAGGACAGGGATGTTTCCTAGTAAATGGCTCAAGGACACAGTACTAATAGGGCATGATTGTGATGTAATTAACTTCTCAGTTTTTTAACTCTACCTGGAATTAAACATGTGACAAGCTCCTTATGAAGAGGCTACAGTTATCGCCATAATGATGGATTCTTTTTTTAAAAATGCATTCCATTTATAATTGTAACGCAATTAAATTTTTTTTAATCAACAACACTATCTATTCAATGATCCACAATCTCTCTTTACAGCTAGCTATTCATGTTTTTTGAATAGTTTCAGCATTCCTATTTAAAGGTATCACAAAATAGCCACAAATAGCACTATTTAACTATAAGACAGGTTTAGTTGATGGTGGGCTCAGTATTTTACTAAAATAGGTTATCACAATATTCTAAAATAATAATAATAATAATTAGAATTAATTATTTAAAAAGAAATAGTGCTGTTTCAAGCCAATGGTATTTTACTTAAGTCTGTCAAAACATTCAGTAAAGTGTCACCCGAACACTTGCTCCCAGAAACTACAGTAACATCCGCACACCCGGAAGTAACACCCGGAAGTAGTCACAACAGTGTGCGGTTGCTATGGATGTAGAACAGTCGCTCTATATGACAGTTGGGGTTTGGTAAATATTTACGTGATGGTTAACACTTACCACTGTATGATCAATTCGTAGTAATAATCTTTAAACAGTGCATGCTTACCTATCAGAGAAGCTTATGTTTTCGACGAATAAAAGTCGAAAGGAACGACATACCAAAACAAGAGCTAACGTTAATGTTGTGACATCTGAATGTGATTCAAAACCGCCCGTCGCGTTCATACGCTTGTGTTTGGTAAGTGTGCTTAGTATTGATTTTGAAAATCCATAGTAATGTAGCATGTCTGTGGTGTGCTAAATTGTGTTATGTATTGGCTGAATAGTTACTGGCCGTAGCTTGAATTCTGTGTAAGGAATAGCTACTGCCTGTCAGTCATGTTTGAATTTAGTGCCAAAGAGTGAGACTCTTAATACCAGTTTATCCTTGCAACTCATTAAGTCATTTTGGATGTTACAATCATTTGTTTAGTATTAACTAACCATGATCATGTGACTTTGCACAGTTTATATAGTGCCGATGTCAAGATGTCTGTGGAACTGGATGTATTTGTTGGAAACACCACCATTATGGACAAAGAGGTGTATCAACTGTGGCTGAATGGATATACAGGTAAAGTATAAATGAGACCATGAGCTATTGTAATATCTGTATAAAACATTAATAATATACTAGTCGATGTGGTCGCCCTCATAGTGAATGATGCAGTGAAGTTCCGGATAGAAGGAGGTGTGATGGAGGAGTGTGAGGCGAGTGCAGAAGTGCTGCTCAGTGACACCATGGACCAGTACAGAACTTTCCAGATGTGTGAGAGACTTTTGCACCACCCAGCTAAACTAGCCAATCAGCTTCTATTTCAGATACCGCCAGACAGACAAGCCATGCTCATTGAAAGGTATGCACTGGTTTGCGTCTTGCCAATTTAAATAGATTGATTTGGTCATTATTCAATTTAAAGGGGTCATATGAAGCTTTTTAAAAGACCATTATTTTGTGTATTTGGTGTAACAGAATATGTTGACATGCTTTAATGTTCAAAAAACACATTATTTTTCAAATACTGTACATTATTGTAGGTCCTCTATGCCCCGCCTCTCTCAAACACTTCGTTTTCTACAAAGTCCCTCCTTCCGACAAGCGCAGTCTGCTCTGATTGGCCAGCTGACCCAGTGCATTGTGATTGGCCGAACACCGCAAGCACTCGTCGGAAATGTAACGCCCCTTACCATAATCGCGAGCTTCATCTTTCAAAATAAATGTAAAGACAGAGCCCGAAAGGGGAACAGAGTCGCGTGACAGATACAGTGATGAAGCTGGTATGTGTTTGCAGTACACAAGCCACGGTTAAGACAGCTGACTCCACTGTGATCGCTCTCTCTCTCTCTCTCTCACTCTCTCTCTCGCTCTCTCGCTCTCTCTCTCTCTCTCTATTTGCATTTCCTTTTTTAGGTATTATGCTTTTGATGATTCATTTGTTCGAGAGGTCCTGGGAAAGAAGCTCTCCAAAGGAACCAAAAAAGACCTTGATGATGTTAGTTTAAAGACAGGCATTACGCTGAAGAGCTGCAGAAGACAGGTGGGCTGAAGGACTCCGTTTAAGGATGTGTTTACACTTGAAGTTCCATTCTCTTGGTTCTATTGGTCAGGTCCAAAAAAGAAAATTCAATAATTAGTCCAGGTTAGCTTAGTGTTTGTCATTTTTAACACCAAACCTAAAGATACAAAACAAAAGGCATAAGGATATGGCCACAACCTGGACAGCTTTATGACATATATTTTGCAAACTTACCAAACATCCGAAACAATGCTGTGTGCTGGGCTACATGCACTTGTTGTATATGCATACATGTGGTGGTATTTTTACCAGCTCACAAAGAGCTTATAAAATGTGTGAAGGAGTCAAAACAGATTTAGGAATTTCTTTTGTTGCACACACGGAGATCTGCTGCAAGGAGACAGTGGTTCAGATATCTGTACCGAACTATAACAGCCTTGAGCATTCTGTCTTTTTAGGGTTGCGTCTTGTGACATCATGTCCCGATTTTGGTTAGTTTATATGTCTTTGGTTCGTGTTGCGTTCATATATCAGTCAAATCGCACCAGAGTTTGTTTGGAAGCACTTGTTTGGTTTGCATCAAGGTTTGTTTGGCAGTGTTCGTACTTATTCAAATGAACCATACTAACAGAGCAATCTCACCAGCGTACGTTTTAATCAAACCAAACCTGCCAAGTATAAACACAGCCTAAGATTATGAACTTCTCATTGGTATCTAAGATTTATGCTTGGATACTTTTCCGAGACCCTTTTGGAAATGAAATGATTATATCCATCTCCTTAAAAACAGTTTGACAACTTCAAGCGAGTGTTCAAAGTGGTGGAAGAACTCAAGGGTCCCCTGGTGGAAAACATACGGCAACACTTTCTGCTACCTGATCAATTAGCCGGGTGAGAAAGTCTCTTTCTGAGACGTTTTTTTTTTTTTTTTTTTTTTCAAACCTTTTTAATTAATCCTGAATGCCGGTAGAACTGAGTTCAGAAAATGAGGCGGGGGAAAAAGAGAGCAGTCAAAGCATAGTTAGAAATGATTATTTTACTATATTACTTATTTACTATATAGGTATCCATTCTTCCAGTAGTATGTTCATTAACATTGTAAGAACGCAAGTTTCCATGAACAGTTGCTTCATTGCTGATTTGGTGTGTTTTCACCTTCTCTTGCTAAATGATCCTGCCAATTCCTCCTCCAGAGACTATGCTGCAATAGTGTTCTTTGCCAATAATCGTTTTGAGACGGGGAAGAAAAAGTTGCTGTATCTAACCTTCCAGGACTTTGCCTTCTGTGCTGGGCAGCTCATCAACAACTGGACTGTTGGAGCTGTGGGTAAGACCAGTTACACAGCCATCTGCAATACTTGAAATTGGTCAATCATGGCAATAAATGGTCAAATATGTTTGTATAATGGCCACTAAATTGTATAACCATTATGCCAGGCAGCCGATTCCCTACATTTGGATTGCTTAATTATGTCTCTTTACCACTCAGGTTATTTTAAAAGTGTTTTATTATTACATAAATAATATATATATATACAGTGGGTACGGAAAGTATTCAGACCCCCTTACATTTTTCACTCTTTGTTATATTGCAGCCAT